AGGCAATTAAAATAACACTAATTGTTTTTGTGTATGCTGTGTTTAATTTTTCGGAGACATTTTATCTTTTTCTCTTTAAAAATGGCAACTCTTAACTCCGTGCTCATCTAGCACAGTGAAAGAATTATTAAGCATTTTTTTGCCTGAGCATTTGGCATGTTTGGTCATGTATTTTCACAATGAATATTTTTCACTTATTTGATCTTCTGTGCCTTGAAAAATTATCCGCAGTTTGGTGATCATTAATTTAGTTAGGATTTTAGTATGCTTTAATTTTTAATTTTCCTAACAGAACTTTTTTGCCTTTAAAACAGTCTTTGAGTATAAAATGATTTAGATTATTGTAGGGGTGTGTGTGTGTGTGTGTGTGTGTGTGTGTGTGTGTGTGTGTGTGTGTGTGTTTGCATATAGTGGTACTCCTATTAATCTATGAAAGCTAATTTATGTATTTTAATAATTAGAAATTGAGACTTTGGAGATATTATTATTTTCATGCATGTTCATGTCTTTAGACTAAACTTGCCTAAATTTTCTAAACAAAACTGTGCAAGTCTATTTTATGTTTAAACTCCAGCTTTCTATCTGGTGCATTTTTGGTATTTGATAAATGTAATTTTATTTGGATACCGTTTTTTAAAAGTAGTAAACTAGTGTTTACTGGAATTTTCTACAAATTGAGAAAAGCAAACAAGTGTCAAATTTGAATCCACATATAATTAACATGTACAAAAATGATTTGATTGGCAATTTATCACAATGGTTAGCAGTTATATCACTTGTTAATTCATGTACTCAGACTCAAAACACTTGTTTGCACATGGAAATAAAAGAGAGGTACAAGCTTCAAATATTGTGAATCACTATATTGCTTCTTTATCACTAACTCCATCTGCCTTGCTTTTCACGATGCTTTTTACATTGCTTTTAATATAGAAAAAATTATGATAAAAAATAGAAAATACTAAAGAATATCTCAATATTGTTTTATGTCAAAAGGTCTGCACCACTGTTTTCTGTGAAGGAGAAAAACCTTTGAGCACATAGTTCAAAAATTCTTATATATATGAATGAACCAGTAAAGGCATCTTTTTCCCCCAAAAAATAGCATTTTAAAATGCTTTCATCATGTTTCCACTTCACATAAAGAGAAAGGACCCTATTTGCTATTCATTTTTAAATATGAAAGGGGGCTTTGGTTTTTGGTCTTGGTTTTGTTTTGCATTCATTTGTAGGCATATTACTAGGAACTCCTTTTTCTGGCTGTTATATGTCTTATATCTCTGAATTAGCGTATATGTGTATGTATATGGGTGTGTATCTGCATCTTTCCATACATAAATACATGAGGAAAATACAGGGTTAAAGAATATTAAATTGTCATTATCTAAAATGGCTTATAATTGGTTGGGAATTGTGTTGTTTCTTTTGTGTTGAAGTTTTGGATGCTGAAAGCTTTTATTAACATTTTGAGTGTCCTCTTTTTTGTTCAAAATAACCATTTATCACAGTATTTACATAAGCAGTAAAATTGTGTAATTGCTACTCACTGGGAAGATTTTAATTTCAGATCAAATATATTCAGTAGCATATTTTTGTCTAAAATGTATATCACTTAAATTTTCATTAAGACATTTTGTGAAGATGTTGACTTTTCTAGGACTGCTGCTGCGAGTTGGTTATTTAACAGAATATTTTTAGATTTTAACATAGAGATGTAAAGGCTCCATGCATTTCCTAAACTTGGTGATAGCAAAAACTAGGCCTGTCTTTTAAGAAAAGATTCAAGTTGTATGTTTTTCTGTGTACTTTTCTTAACAAATATGCTAACAGCTTTCAGTAACATTTCTGAATGATTTTTCCTCATTTAGAGAAGAAAGGGAGATTGAAAAATGACCTAGATTTTTGACTTCTTGATGTTTTTTGTATTTTAAAAAGTGGAAATGTTCACAGATTCTCCATGCCATTAATATTCATAATAATAGTTGCACTATCTATACAATCTATATTATTTACCTTTTCTTTATAAAACAGCAGACTGTTTTCTGTCATAAAACAAATCTGGCTTGTATTGGAACAGATACGTCGTCATTTAAAAGAGTTTTAAGGTTTCCTGCTTGCATTGACTGTCTTAAGCTTTAAATAAATGTCTGGCTCTTAATTTTAGTAAATGGCATGACACACTATATCCATGGAGAGCTTTTGACAAAAACTTATTTATCAGTCTTTCTTTGCTGTATGGTTTACTCAGGTGGCTTCAGTTTCCCTGTAGTAAAATAATACCACAGTGCTGGTGCTAGAGTACAGAACAATGTTGTTACTGTGAACACATCTTCTGTAGATAATATCCTGTTCCCTTTCTTTGTTGATATTTTTCTTTCTTAAACTTTGTCGCTCAGAGTATCTTTAATGCTAGCCAAGGAGTCAGGGACTTGGACGTATTTTCATGGACTTCCAAAGCTTTTTTTCCCCAGGTGAGTTAACTGTAAGGAACAGTCAAACAATATTCAGGTATTTCAGCATGTATAACAAATTTTGCCTTCTATCTTTTGAAGCCTTTGCTTAAGGTTAATGAAAGACTTTTTGCCGAAAAAGATCGACACAAAGTGCTACAATTGAGTTTCCCTGGTAATCCTTTTCCCTCTGCTTTTGTCAAAGAATGTATTATTAGTTTAATTTGAACTTTTATGTGACTTCAAATTTGCTGTATTTAATTTATGACTAGCTTCTCCCATAATTACATCCACATCTGGCTTTCTCAGCTTGCTTGTTTTGATGGGAAAGTCCCAAATCCATGGCTCTTCTCTTCTTCCCTAGCTTTTCACAATGCCCTTTTGGATATTCATCTGAGAATGGGGTGGGAATGCAAAGAGAAAAAAAATTACAGTGCACTTCATCCATTTCTTACACTGGTCCCCAGGTCTTCCATTTCTGTATTGGCTAAAGCATGTATATTAGGGTTCCTTGAGAATGGCAACCATACTTCTATGACTTATTTGTCTGTCAGTTCTTTTCATTCTCTGCGCTATAAAAAAAAATGGATAGACTTTGTTTAACAGTTATTAATTTGCATAGTTTCTTTATTCAATAAAATATTAAATATTTTAATAAAAGTTCTCATATATTGCCTTTCACTGAACAACTTGCAATTATTATTAGTTTTTGCCAAGACTCGTCTCTTGTGTTCTGATGAATGACCAAAGTTTGGAAATACTGTTATAACTTAATTAAATGCTCTAAATATATCAGTGAATACCAGTAAAATTGATTTTTCACTAAATCTAATATTTGCTTGTTATTTTTGACATCATACCATGTAATTTTTTAAAAAATGGTTGTAAATAGGACTAACTTGCCTCTTCCAACTATGAAATAGCCTGATATATTTACTGAAATTGGTTATTCACAACTACATATTTTTAAATGTTTACTGAAAACCTTGTTAGTGTAGTAGCACAGTTTAAAGTTTAGACCTGACCCTCCATTTTCATTTTGAGCACACTCTTTATTCATATGTAAGTTTTTATGAGTATATATGCATGGGTGTGTACAATGCATATTTTAAGTTTATTTTAGATTATAAATCTACATTTTTCAAGTATTATTATATTAAATGTAAATAAATATTGTCCATAGTACATATTTATACACCTAAAAGTTATTCATCACCACAATGAAATTAATAGAATATTATGTGAAGGTTAATAGTGGGTTAAAAATTTTCCCTGACCGTATACTGAGTTAAAGTCACAGGTACACAGAATTCTTGAATCTACATTTTTTTAACTTAAGAATTTCATTTTTAATTTTTTATTATAGAAAGGAAGACCCTTTAGTATGACACTACTTAGAGGGATAGAGCTATTTAGTAGTATTTTATCTTGCATAAATAGTATATTAGTGTTTTTTTCATTTTTATTCCATGTTTATGGTATTACTAAATATTAATTTAATTTTAATGCACTGTTTAAATAAGTGCCCCATTAGGGTCATCTTTTGTTGTATTTAAACATAAAATAATTTATAGTCTTTACTACTGTATTTAAAAGTACAGTTTAAATCTGTTTTAAAGAAGTAATAATGACAATGGAAGAGCCCCCAGTGTGGAACTTTACTCCTTCACAAAGAGCAAATATGAGAAGGTTATTATTTATCTTTATTGCATTCACATAGGGAACAATTTCATTCAGATTCAATAGAAAATTTAGGGCATGTCCTTTTCTTTCATTTTAGAAGCGATTCTTTTATATCTAAATGCATTGTATTTATGTAAAAATGCATCTTTGATATTAATCTCTCTAAAAGCATAATCATCTTTTTCTGTTAATAGCATTAATATATCATTGTTTAGTATTGGCCTAGCAGATCTAGCAGGACATCTTTATTTGTATTACATTAAGGAAGTATGAGTTGTTAAAATCTTATAAGCATTCTTATATTTATCCTTAACCTAGTAAATATTAAGATGTAGCTATATTTTATGCACATTTTTTGTCATTGCTATCCTGTTTATAGACAAGTTTCTAGAATCTTCACACGTGTTTTCTCTATTTGTAAGTAATTATTACAAAGTGGAAGGAAATGAAGATTTAGACTTTTTAACCTGTACCAACATACAGCAATGCAGTAATAATGACTCAAAATTATTCAGTTGTGGTTCACAGAGTATATTATTTTTGTTTTTCCTACTGTTTAATATTTCATTAAAAAATAAAAATAAAATCAAGTACTATATATTTCTTAAATTGTGGTGGGCAAAAGCCAGAGGTTCATTCGCTCTTTCTGCTATATTTTCTTCTCTTCTTTTAAATATTACTCAGCATTGAAACATTAAAAGATTCTTTGGTAGTCGTGTTAATGTGTATACTTCAGTTACTTTTGGATATGTATTCTCTTATTTGATAGTATTAAAGACTTGCTGTAAAAGCTATTAATAATAGGATGTCGAAAGTGGTAATAGATTGTATTTTGTTTATTTTTTTTTTTCCTATTCAAATTTTCAGGAACCTAAAACTAATACTGATGACTTTTTCAAAGATATAAACTCCTGCTGCCCACAGGAAGCAACAATGCAAGAACAAGATATGCCGTTCTTGCGAGGAGGGCCAGGCATGTACAAGGTAGTGAAGACGGGACCTTCCGGTCACAACATCAGAAGCTGCCCTAACCTTAGAGGTATCCCAATTGGAATGTTAGTTCTGGGAAACAAAGTCAAAGCAGTGGGAGAGGTATGGATTCTTGTAGCTTCATGACTTCTAAATTATTCCTTTTTAATATAATACCAGAGCATCTCTTTCTTCCAAAGGTTGCCATTTCCATCCCAGGTTTTTAAACGTTAATGTTCTTTATCCTTACTTGTAATGCAAATACTACTAACATCATTTTTCTGTGCTTCTTTTTTAAGTAATTTTATTCTCATAATTATCCTTCTGAAAACAGTATTTATATTAACAAAATGATTTGTATTGTATATATGAATGTTTGGTATGTACATATATCCTTTCATTATTATAAATGTACTATAATGTCATGGGTTAACAGCACTTTAAAATATTTACTATGAATTGGTATGGAGATGTGACATATACAAAGGGTTCATTTCTTTGTTCTCATTTATGTGTCTCACTGAAGTCCTGAGCAAATAAAACTTTTTAGTTAATGGTGGCATTTGCCTCAGCTGATGAGCTTGAAGATGTAGTGTGTCATGCTATTTCTCAGTGTCAGGGTCATTTTCAAGTTGTATTATAGACACTACCAATCTAAATAATAGTTTGCTATGTTGGGATATTTTAGGTGCCAAAACAAAAAAAAGAGAGAGCGCCACGTGTTTTGGGGTAATGTGTAAAGTTATTTAGAGGTTGTCCTGTGCCTTAAAAGTTACTATTTTTACTGAAGTCATAAATAAGCAGCATTTTACAGAACTTTTTATTGATTTCTGTCTTACCTCAGGCTGTGGTCTTAATTTCAGAATCTAATTTCATGGTAACTTTTGGAATGCTTACCCTATTCAAACACTTAAACTTTTTGCTGGTTTTCAGCCTGAGTACCCTGAAAGAATCAAGCCAATCAATCGTGCTTTTTGTTATGTGCTAGGTAACCAATTCTGAAGGTGCGTGGGTGCAGCTGGATAAGAACAGCATGGTAGAGTTCTGTGAGAGTGATGAAGGAGAGGCATGGTCCTTAGCTAGAGACAGAGGCGGAAACCAATACCTTCGACATGAAGATGGCAAGTTGGCTTAAATTTGTGATTTATTCTGATTAACCTTTGAAATGCAGAAGTAAACAACTTTTTTGTGTGTTTATTTTTTAAGTAAAAAGAAAAACTGAAGTTAAAAATTCTTACAATTCTTAAAATTTGTTTGTGAAACTAATGGGTACTCAGCACATGTACGAAGAGAGTTAAAAGAAAATGTGAAACATGAATCCATCTTTGCAAACTATGTTTTCTTTTTTTTCCCATTGATGTAGATTTGTATGACTCCTTATTCTATGCCAGTCCAGGATTGAATGTTTTACCTTTTTTTTTTAACCACTAAATGGAAGTTCACTTTTCAAATTGTCAATCATAGTACTTCTCCTAGGCAATTTCATTTGATTTAATTTTGTCTCAGGATAGGAGCATTGGATAAATGCATAGCATCTTTTGGGGGGTTCCTATTTTGTCGTTAGAGTTTCAGCTTTCAACTTCATCTTTTTCAATAATCTCAGTTAATAAAAACTTTTCTTTATTGTCCCCTTCTCTTCATTCTCCTGGGACAAAAACATGGTTCTTCCAAGTTCAGACCATGTCATCACTTGGGTGAAGCTTTAACTGATCCTTACAGAGTCAAGAATTCTAAGTTCCTAAAGAACTATATTTACCGCTAGAATAAAACTGATATCATACTGAAGTTAATTTTTATTTCTTTATATCGAGATTGTGAGTCACTTGTGGACAGGCACAGGGTTTTTAATCTTTGTATTCCTCGTTCTGAAACAGTTTTGGCACTTAATTGCATATTAAGTTTTGTAAATACAAGTTGAATCACAAAAATATTAGGGCATCAAACTAAGTGGATAAGTCAAGCATAGATTTTTTTCTTCAAAATCCTAAAATTTATAGGAAAAGGTCAGATAAATGAAAGAACATGGGTATTTATCCAAAAGAGAATAAATACATAGTATTTACCATCCAAGAGGCAATATGGCCATAAGTATAAATAGATCTTTTAAAAGTTTGAAACTTCATGAATGACAGAGTACATTTAGACTACAGTAAAACCTTGGGTTGCAAATAACTTGTCCTGTGAGTGTTCCGCAAGGCGAGCAAACATTTATCCTAAATTTTAACTTGATAAATGAGCGATGTCTTGCAATACAAGTAGTACCTAACGCTGAATGTCACATGATCACAACTTAGCCAGTGGTTCTTGAAATTCGCTTTGATGTATGACTGCTTTGGATTACAAGCATGTTTCCAGAACAATTATGCTCATAAACCAAGGTTTTACTGTATTAACAGTATACATTAAACATTTTTCCTTTTTTTCCCCATAATAAGCCTTTGAATAAGTTCTATAATTTTCATTTTACAGGTAAGGAAACTAAAGGTCATGGATTTGAAATGACTTTTGCCTGTGGTTATATAGCTAGATGTATGGCAGATGTATCACCTGAGCCAGAAACTGCATTTGTATTTAAGATGCTGTGCTCATTACAGCACACTACTCTGTGTCAGTAATCATTGAATAGAATCTGAGAACCTGCTACTTCCCTCGTCTTTACAGACACACTTAATAATCACAGCTGATGTGGTTGTAAAATAATGTTCTGGGTTGGTATACCTATTCTTCATTATGTTGTGAGAATGAGAACGGCTTCATTTGATGAAACTTAGACATTTTACAAAATAACCTTCCCATTTATAATATACTTAATATATATATTACATATTCAGAAGTTCCTAAACATTTCCACTATATATGCATATTCTGATATAAATGAAAATACATAAAGTGAGGTCAGCTTTATATAAGACATAGGTAAATAATATGAGAATGGTTTGGGTAACTATCAAAGTAACTTCCTAGCTTAATTATTTTTTTAACTGTCAGTATAGCTTAAGTGTAAGAGTGAACTCGAGCTGGACTGCTAGGGTACAGATACCAGCGCCACAGCTTTTCAGTTGTGTAACCTTGGCCAAGTTAACCTGACGTCTCTGTGCTTCAGTTTTCTCGTTTACAAAATGAAAATAATTTATAAGTTCCATATGAAATCCAAATGAACAAATAATAACATAAAACTAGCAGATGGTAAGGTTAGCTGTTATGATTAAAATGTAAAATGCCCTCTATACTGAAGACTGAGTTTTAAATGGAGAGTTTTATTTCTATATACTTAGAGGTAGACGGTTCTTCTTAGTTAAAATGCTTCTTGGGGCGCCTCGGTGGCGCAGTCGGATAAGCGTCCGACTTTAGCCAGGTCACGATCTCGCGGTCCGTGAGTTCGAGCCCCGTGTCAGGCTCTGGGCTGATGGCTCGGAGCCTAGAGCCTGTTTCCGATTCTGTGTCTCCCTCTCTCTCTGCCCCTCCCCCGTTCATGCTCTGTCTCTCTCTGTCCCAAAAATAAATAAACGTTGAAAAAAAAAAATTAAAAAAAAAGTAAATAAAATAAAATAAAATGCTTCTTAAATTAGTATATTATTTCTGCTAAGTAAGATATTCAACCCTAAAAGCAGTGTAAGAGAAGTTTAAATTTCTCTCTATCAACACTTAATGGTCCTTTGCTCTTATATAAAGTGATGTTAAGTTTTTAACGTAAGACCTGGGGTGATCAGGAAAAAGTGTTAAGAAGTTAGTGCCTGAAAATCACTACGATTAGTTGATGTTGTATCCAAATAGTCTGCTCGTCGATATTAGTATGTAACTGTATTTAATGTGGAAGTAAGAGGATTTGGCACTATAGTAATTTGTATGAGGTAGTAGAAGTACAACAAAACTTTGCTCTTGGTAAAAATTATTTCTAGGTCTTTGATATTTGCAAATAAAGCTAGTAGGCAAAGTTACTGGTCTGGTTAAAAACAGACCTTATACTTGATGCTGAGATCATTCTGAGTCTAGAGGGTGAGAGGGATGCTGTCTTTCCCATTCAGATTAGTGTTCCTGAGTATTTTCCAGAAAACCTATTCCACTGCTGAAATATCTGACACTAAACACTATTGCCTAAGGGAAGTGCTGGGGGATTGACTTGTTGAAAAAAGTCTAGAAATGTAAGTGAAAGGAAAATGCAAGTGGAAGAAAACACCACATTTTCTAGTTCCATTTTCTTTTTGAAGAGATCTTGATTTCTAAAAAATATACTCAAGACTTCATTATCTGTAAAGTTGTTTTGATAGAATAGATACTTTTTCTCCTTTTACCTTGCATTTGACAGATTTTATTTTGCCCTTTTTTAGCTGGCATTAATATGACTATTGAATTATGGTATTTGTGTTTTTAGTATTATATCATACAAGGTCTTATGGCCATCTCATTGATAATAAAGGATACCTTAGTTTATTAATTTATGTTGTAAACTGGATAAAATACTTGCCTTTTTTCCTTGAAATAAGAATTATGATACATTTATTGACTTGAGCATGTGTGAATAGCTCTATGTGACCTGATTTATCATCCTTTCATTTAGAGGAAATGTCCTTATATAATAAGTAAAAATAAGTTAAAAGTTAAATTTTCCACAATATTTACATTCAGAACTAAAAATATTTTGTATATTAGCATTCAAATAGGAAAAAAAAGCATATATTTAGACATTTCTATTTGAGTGCTAATACACAAAATATTTTGATTTCTGGTTTATAGGATACCCATTTTTATTTTATAAAGTGCTCTTGTATAAATCTGTCACAAATTGGAGCTCCTGATCCAAAAATACTAGTATGCATTCAATGATATATCCAGCCACAATGAAAGTAAATTGGCTTCATAAGACCATATCCAGTTTCTAAGTTTCACTATGTATTTGATAATGAAAACAAAGATTTGTCGTATAATTTGTCAGTATCAATGACCTAATTGTTAGACTTATTATCAAATCTAAATGTGAGGTTTTAAAATCTAACCATCATAAAGTATTTCTTGGTAACTTTCTCTTCATTCTATGAATAGGGGAATAGCATATAAGAAACTAATTTTATAGCTGTGTCTTTTATTATAGAACAAGTTCTTCTGGATCAAAATTCTCAGACTCCTCCTCCAAGCCCTTTCTCAGTGCAAGCTTTTAATAAAGGGGCAAGTTGCAGTGCCCAAGGATTTGATTATGGACTTGGAAATAATAAAGGTAGGTGTTTGAAAGTGAGTCTTTTACCTACCCAACTTTAATATTTTTATTACCTTCTCTTTTAACCATTTTTATTACTGTTCACCCACAAAACTTTATTAAAGTTTGTTCCTAGAAAACTAACAATCAAAATGTTTGCAAAGGTGTTCTTTTAGAGTGTCATTTTTACCAGTTTTAGCTTATGTTTGTAGTTTTTGCTTATTTGCTCCTATTTAAAGATACTCACTGTGAATTCACATCATAAATTCAATGACACTGTATCTAGTAAAAGAACTATTGTTTTTATCACTCACTTATTATTAATAGTAGTGTTAATGAGCAAAAAGGAACCTTCCACAGTGATCCATTTAAAATCAAAATGTTTTAAGTAATATTACATGTCAGCTTTATTACATACACATGGTTTTGAATGTTTAGCCATGTTATCTTAGTTAATTTAGAATTATGTGAAATAGGCTATATTCGGGTTTGGTATGTATAATGAAATCAGAAAGTTGTAAAAAGGAAAACAAAAACCCCAAGCCAAAGAAATAAAATGTGTGTAAGCTGGTTTTGTCTGCAGTATTAGAAGAGACCAACATGATGGACGATCCAAACAATAATTATTTCAGAATAATTTATACTTGGATTTCATCTAAAATTCAGACACATTCCTTTTCTTTTCTATACATATGATCCTGACTCCTTCTAAATCAGCATATTGTCAGCAAGTAGCATACAAGTGGGATGATGGGTAGGAGGGAGAAGATAGCCTACATGGAAATAATTTTACTGTAAAATGTCATTTACACTAATTCATAGGATTTGATTTCGAGGAACAAATACAGCATCATTAGACTTGCAGAGCAAATGAAATAATGAAATCATCAATAAAATGCAAAATGACATCAATGTAGAGGAGATATTCAGTTTAAAATAAAACCACATGTTGTTTGATATCTTTATTGCTTTCCACAAAGTATTTATGTGAAAGAAGCCTAGCTACAAGATTTCCTTTTGGCTTTTCCTACTCTATTGTGTTGGTCTATCCTGCAGACTTGGGGACTGCCTGCTTGCTCATTTCTGGTAGCTCAGATTGCAACTAACTTGAGCTAGACCTTCATACTTAAGTAGGGGAAATGCTTGATGGTGTTTTCTTCATGTCCTTTTCTCTCTCCCATTATCAATCCTTAAATTAAAATCTCAGTGTTTATTTACTACTACTCTACTTCATTAGTAGTCTGTTCTGGAGCCATGTTTAATTCAAATTGTATGCTGTCAGTCTCTAAAGTGTCTAAATTGTACTGGTGGCTCTCACTTTAAATCAGTCTTCAAAATATAATTTACTTAAATATCGTAGGAATTTAAATCAACTTTTAAGAGACAAACATTGCTGATAACATTTGTTATTAAATAGAAATAATGAAGGACCGCTTTTTAAAAGTGTAATTTTTGCTTACATTGTTCGTATTTTTTAATAGGCTTTTAAAATACTTAGATGGTGCAAAGGAATATTAAGAAACTTAAATCTAATTAAATATATCTGGCCTTTGTTAATGAACTTACCTTTAAACTAATTCCCATTTTTTAACTGTTTATACTGTCCAAGATCAAGAAATTTTTTTATAAAAATTCTTTATTCTTAATTCTATAAAATTCTTCATAATTTCTAAAATCCTTCCTGAAATCTACAACATAAATTTTTGAAAAGTGGACATATGTAGCTATGTATACAGTTCTTTCCATATAAGTCTGTTCTTTCTTGCTGTTTCATTTGAAGTCTTCACTTAAGAAACTTTATTATATTTAGGGAATATGGCTGGAAAGGTACTGTGTTCCAGTTTTTACATCAACTAATCTAGATATATTTTTTCGTCTTCTCTTTTTCAGTGTTATTTAAAATATTTAATACATATAATCTCTTAAAGAAGAAGCTAAGGATCATCCATCTAATTATATTGTTTCATAGTTTTAAAAATATTTTTCTGTTAAAGTCCTGTGTATGTAATTTCAAGGGAGAATGTCAGAATTCATACTTGAGATACTATTCCAATTAGATAGCTCATACTCCTTTTTATCTTATAAGTCTTAAAGATTGTTATATTATCCATCCAAGCAAAGGAGCTCATGCTTTAAGAAGTATAATTTCTTTGGCAGTAACAATTTAAAAAAAGAAAATAATAATTTATTAACTCTAATGTAAATATATTACTAAGTTAATAACATATACTTTGCCTCCCTTCAGTTCTACATTTACTTAAAAAAACGTTTTCATATTATTTGCTTATTTTCTGCATGAAGAGTACTGCATATGAGGTGGAGTTATTTAGTCATTTATTAGGTATTATGTAGAAGACATCATTTGCTTAGATCTCAGTTTACACTTGTATGATATTGAGTCAACCTCTCTATCATAGATTCTTCATAGACTCTGAATTCCCCCACACTGCTGCTCAATGTTGTGTGTAAATTTTCATGAATTTGTTTTCATAGGTGGGCTGTTATATAAGACTATTAAAACAACATAACAACATTTGGTCCCTAATTTGAGAATAATGATCACCAACTTCCACTCATTCCTGAGTTGGCATAGTTTTATTTAGTGTTTAACTTTATCTGAATGTCATAAAGCACCATATTCTTTGCCATTTTGGATGTTAATTAATAACAAGTTGTAGTTTTGACTGTTTTGCCCACTGCAGGTGACCAACTGAGTGCCATATTGAATTCCATTCAGTCTCGGCCCAATCTCCCAGCTCCTTCCATCTTTGATCAAGCTGCAAAACCTCCCTCTTCCCTAGTCCACAGCCCATTTGTGTTCGGACAGCCCCTTTCCTTCCAGCAGCCTCAGCTTCAGAGTAAGTCTGTCAGCCTTACCTGCCTCATCAAACCATTTCTGAAGCTTTGTTCTGAGTTGTGTATCAGTTACTAATTATTTATCAACTCACTTGACTGATTTTATTTCATGAGGATGTTATCCCTTTCCACATTTTTGAAGGATTTAAGCTATTCTGAGCTAAGACATTGTGCAGCTAAGACATTTGTTTTTTAATCACACATTTTTTTATTAAGTATAGTTATTAAAGTATGGCTATTATGCTCTCTAATTCCAGCATAAGCAAACACATACATAAAGCATGTTAAGAAAAACATTTCATTTAAATTTTTTTATATAAAACGCATGACTATACTAAGCATCACTTACAGAGCTAACTTTCATTGTTTTACACTGGATTTTTGTTACTGAGGGATGCCCCAAGAGAATAGACCTATTTCACTATACCAGTGGGTAGAGGATAGGTGGTACGGGGCAGGTTTGTTTGTTTCTTTTAAGTGAATTTGGTATCTGTGAAATGTATAGCAACTTGAGGTTTCCAGATTTTCTCAAATTGTTGTTTCTTCTCTTGCTTTTTGTTGTTGTTGTTGTTTTTCTTGTTCTTAATGTGTTAAAGTGATTATTTGCTTTTAGCTATGCCTTCTAAGATTGCTCTAGCCCTCCATCCATGATGTAATTCACATTGATCTGGAAAATAGACCCAAACAAATTACACTTAACCAAGTGTTCTTTTTTTT